TTACCAACATCGTGTGTAGGACATGCAGTTGGTAAACACTTATCAGAAAAGAAAATCGTGTTTATTTTGTTTCAAATAATTTTTTGTATTACCCTTAATAAAAATTACTTAAATGTCAAAGTATTTCTCATCTACATTACGTTTTTGGTCAAAAATTGTTCCAGGTCCAAAACGGCTCATTTCCGATATATACAAAAATTTTCTACCACAATATTCTCTATACCCCCCTCAAGTTTGGCAACACCTTTTTGAAAAGTTTAGCCAAGCATTTTAGTTACACCCTCTATAATAATGTAAAATACTGTTTAGGCAAAAGCCTTCCCTTAAACCAAAAATTAAGTAATTGAAAATGCTGAATGTACAATTTCTATTATATCTTTCACTTTTTTTTTCAGTAGTCATTTCAAAATGAATTCATACTATTTGGTCAGTTCTCATTCCGATTTTGAATTTTTTTTTCATAAAAATTTTAGTAAGAAACTGCGGTGTAATATATTCCATACAATTTATTTACATCTATTTTGAGTCAGAGGCTTAAAAAATGTCAATAGACCTTATGAAGAAAATAAGTAAATGTGGAAGTCATAACTTGTATCTATGTGCAAGTACTATTAATACAAGAACTTGTTGTTTGTGCAAGGACTTCATGTAACTTAGATTTATTATAATTCCAGAGCAAATATTTATAGAAATAGTTGTTTTTACATGTACAACTAAGTTGTATGTTACACCATATTTAACAAACAAATGCGTATAATATTACGAATTTATAACCCACTTTCTAATAATATGTATCAGAAAAACTGTAATCGTGTAAGTATTTACATAAATTTATTTTCACAAAAAATTGTAATTAGGTAAACGCAGCCTTAAATGTATAGTGTTTTACTGTGTGTGCAACTTTCACGGGATTTTTTTTGTTACATACACAGTGAAATCTAATAATCTACAAAAAATAAAGGAATTTCTTATTATTTTTAAAAACCCCTTTGTAAAATACGAAGTACAAAAGAATTTCAAAAAATTGTTATATCTAATCCCTAAATATCTGAACGGAATGAAGATACTGAAATAGAATTTCATGTGTACGATATCTGAATAAAGTGACATTTAATGTGAAAATGAAAAGTCTCAAGTCAAACAAGTGGCTTTTATTTGAAACGTCAAACGTCATGGTACCTACGCCAATGGAAAATTTTTTTTTTGTTTACTTGAAATACAAATTTTGTTTTGAATGAAAATTTTGGTACAAATTCTGGGTAAATAAAAAATTTAAAAAGTTTAGAATTATTTGTTTACATAATGTTATAAAAATGTGTTTAAAATGGTGTCCCTGTGCCTCTATGCAACATCATTTCGACTGAAACATGCTTCATATGTAACAAGTATTTGCGTAGTATATTGAGGATTTCTTGCATGTTCCTGAAGCAACCACTCGCAAAAACCTCGACATAGCGTATATGCTTTTCAAAAATGTTCAAAAATGACAAAAATCATATTTAGATATAATTATGACATTTCTATATAACTTTAATACAAAGCATTTTAACACCCTGTATCTCAAATATGAGAACTTCAAGCAAACGTTTATATAAGAAAATATTAAACTTAGATGACAAAAATGCTTGTTCATTTTTGACATCTTGCATATTTTTGTTAAGAGACTTCAGGATATTAAGAATTAAGATAAGAAAGATACAGCTGTCTAGTAAAATACGAACAATTTTCAAAAACTATTATATTAATTTTTTTAATTATATAATTTTAATGTTATCTGTTGTACTTTCCTTCACTTTAAAGTATTTAGCCAATTCAAACAATTTTCCTGAAATTCTCATTGGATGAAATCATATACAAGTATGCTATACAGGCTGTTTGTAAATAAGTGCGAAATATTTGAAGAGGTGGTTGCCAAAGTTATTTTGTGAAAAAAAGTTCGTATAAACGTAGGTCGAAATATGCTTTTTTTCTGAAATACAGAATCTTAATTTAGATTTTAATTTTTTATTTTTTTAATTAATTATTTAAAAGAGTTTTAAATATATTAACTCGAAATTTGATGGTTGTATTTTATTTAGAAATATAGGCAACAAGCTACTTAGATGTTTCAATAGAAATTAAAAATACATAACTTGCAATAAAATATGTTTTTATATTTTTCCTCAAAAACGGTGCATCCTCCGGAAAAAATTGAAGGGACCAGTTTCATTTAGAATTGATGGCGGATTTCTAAATAAATATCAAAACGGGAAAAAGTAATATTTTTAATGAAAAAGTTGTAGCATTCTCGCACGAACGCCACTGGTGCAAGTAGAAATATTCGGTATACCCAAAAAAATGCACATTTATCCCTCCAAAGGATTTTTTAAATTTCGAGTCAATATCTTTAAAACTCTGAAATAATTAATAAGTTAATAATAATATAATAATTAATACCTTTATAATATGAACTTTTTTTCATAAAATAAACTTACAAAATTTCGCACTTATTTACACACACGCTGTATATAAAAAAGCATGTGACTCCATTAGATCAGAATTTTTGAAAAATTTTTAAACACCATTTCAATTAATTTCCTAATTATTTTGCTTCTATTTCGTTAATATTTTTGAGACGAAACTTTGTGAAAGATTTATATTTTTCTAACTTATGAGGAAGTCCAATCAAATCTTGCTATCCAATATAGTTAAAAGATAAATGGGTAAAAGATCTTGGGTAAAAGATAAATAATCGTGGGGATATAAATTAAATAAACACTAAACAAAGTTCCAGCTGAATTTCTTAAAAAGGACAATCATTTCCGAATGAGTTGCTGAATATTGTACTAGGCCACATCATTTTATATTAAAATCTAAGTTATTGTAAAACGTTTTATTTGCAGTTCACACAAAATTAGAAATTATAATAATCCCTACCTCTACCGAACATTAAGACTTTAAATATTTGTTAATCAGAATATAGAATTTGAATAATTTTGGTAAGTAAAAATCTGTGACGACAAAAACCAATATGTTATTTGTCATGTTCTCTATATATTGGATAAAAAATAGGTTCATATCCATATTCGATAACTTGTCATACATAAAAAAATATTGAAACAGATTTAGAAGTGACACAATTCGCTTCCGGATACTAGTCCAAACATTATAGAGAAATGCTTACAGAAATTATTACCTGGACAAAAAAAATATGACCGTATAGAAAATTAAATTTTAAATTGAGTTTCTTGTTCTTTAAACTCGATCCAATATGGCGAACATGGTTAAAAAAAATCGCAAAGTTGAAAAAAACGGTTTTTCTAAAATAACTAAAAAAATATAGCACGGATTGAAAAATTTTAAATGAGAAAGTTGTAGGTTTTAAAAAGATCTATCGACTGATTTTTTGAAAGTATCGATTGCTTTGTTACTTTTCGAGATATATCGAAAAAACCGTTAAAAATCTTCTCTTTTCTCTTCTTCTATAACTCGTTTACATTTACGTGCCCATATTTGCTATTTACTGCAAGCATAGCCCGCGGCAAGCCAAAAAAGTACATTTTTGAAAAATTTAAAAATATTAATTATTTTTCGAGATATATCGATTTTTTGAAAAAAAGGCGCTCTCGAAAATTGGCTAGATCTTCTCAGCGGATAGCCCTACAGTAACGATTTTCGGTTTATTTTCTTCGTAAAGAGTTATATTATCATGCTGTTAAAAAATGTTGACGATTTTATTAATTTTAAGGATCAAAAAATGACTTTGAATAAGTTGCACTTTTTTGGGTATGTTTTTTTCAAATTACTATTTCAATTTTTATTTTATGAAAATGACTTTTAAAGAAAGAAAACTAAACATTTACGGGTCTATTTTGCTTCTAAGGCGAAAATGCTATAATATTCGTGTTTAGCTACCCCAGATTAAGTACAAAAAAATAATAAAAATTGAAATAGTTATTTGAAAAAAACATACCCAAAAAAAGTGCAACTTTTTCAGTCATTTTTTGATCCTTAAAATTAATAAAATCGTCAACATTTTTTAACAGCATGATAATATAACTCTTTACGAAGAAAATAAACCGAAAATCGTTACTGTAGGGCTATCCGCTGAGAAGATCTAGCCAATTTTCGAGAGCGCCTTTTTTTCAAAAAATCGATATATCTCGAAAAATAATTAATATTTTTAAATTTTTCAAAAATGTACTTTTTTGGCTTGCCGCGGGCTATGCTTGCAGTAAATAGCAAATATGGGCACGTAAATGTAAACGAGTTATAGAAGAAGAGAAAAGAGAAGATTTTTAACGGTTTTTTCGATATATCTCGAAAAGTAACAAAGCAATCGATACTTTCAAAAAATCAGTCGATAGATCTTTTTAAAACCTACAACTTTCTCATTTAAAATTTTTCAATCCGTGCTATATTTTTTTAGTTATTTTAGAAAAACCGTTTTTTTCAACTTTGCGATTTTTTTTAACCATGTTCGCCATATTGGATCGAGTTTAAAGAACAAGAAACTCAATTTAAAATTTAATTTTCTATACGGTCAAATTTTTTTTGTCCAGGTAATAATTTCTGCAAATTTAACATTAATCCGTGACAGAATGCTTGGACTATACACTGTATAATAAAATACCCTGGATCAAAGTACACCATCCACCTCGGCACATTATCTGTTTAACACCCTATATACCTTAGTTATTGATGGAAATAAAGCGGTATTCGGTAAATTTTAATTTGTAAACAAATATTAGTATATAAAATAAAATAAACGGATAGTAGCTATATTATATCCTATTTATCCCCTTTACCACGTTCCTGATCCAGTTAACATTATCTATGAATTACACCTATACGCCCTTTTTTATATTCAACTATAATATCGCAGCAAGGCCGGCTAGTTGAGCAACCACGTACTCCCAGCGCGCGTACGTTTAAAAAAATGCGTTACAAGGCCATCTCACAAGCCTACCTGGCTAGGACACACTAAAACACTCAGTACACCGCACTGACCACTTACTTACCGCGACCAAAACACAAATTACTCCACACCAAGTCCTCATTTTCCGAAGATCCCTGAAATTTTCTTCCCAAAAACCACCCACACCAATGCACTTTATCCAAATGGGGCCCGATCCCTCAGTCGTCGGTATTTATACGGCCGCACCCCACTGCAGACAACGAGAATTCTTGTCTTATTTGCAAGCGAGGGCTGGGTTGGTCACTTTCACGCTCTTTGAGATACTCACTCGGGACGTCGGTGCAATTTTAACTTTGTGGAATTGCCGGTACACGGTGGGCCAAGGTAAAAAAAAATCGACATATTTTTGAGCGTACAACGATGAACTTGAATTTTTACAATGATTTTTGATACCAACAGTTCGGGTACGCAAAATATATACAGCGTGGTAAAAAAGTTCTGCATAAAATTCATATTTTCGTTAAACAATTTTTTTTCGAAAAACGGTGAGACCCGTCGATTTTTATTTGATCCAGGGCACCTTGTTATGTGGAAATTTTTTTTTCGATAATCCACTTACGGCAGCGATGACATAATTTTTTTTAAATGACAACGCATATTTTTTTCGTTCGAAATTGATGACAGTGATAATTATCTAAACAACGGTGTGAAAATTTCGATGTCTTACATAACAATTTTTTTTAGAAAAATGCACCTTAAGTTCTTAAGTGATAATTGTCTACTTACACTATTAATGGCTCCGAAAAGGACAAAGTTGATAAAATTACATTTCAAACGAGTAAAATTACACTAATGTTTGTGTAAGTCTAGCGAAATTGTTCGAATTGCCCACCCTGTACCATTTGGCATTGTCCTAAGCGTGTGTAAACGCCGTCTACACTTCGTTCAAGCATTCCCGGGTCGATTTGATTTATTTCAAAACGAATACGGTTTTTAAGTTCTTCCAAATCACCTGGTCTGTTTGTGTACACACGCGATTTCAAATAACCCCACAAAAAAAAGTTTAGAGGTGTTAAATCAGGCGAACGCGGAGGCCACTCGATTGTTCCGCGTCGCCCGATCCACCGGCCAGTAAACGTGTTATTATACTCCCGTACTTGCACTCCATAATGGGGCGGTGCACCATCCTGCTGAAACCAAATTCTTTCCTCAGGAATATCAGGATCCTCGTTGTTCGGGAATAACTCTCCTAAGCTTGGGACCAAATCGAACCGCAGGAAATCCAAATAGCGAGCAGCAGTTAAATTTTCCTCGAAAAAATACGGGCCTAAAATACGATGCCCTATTATTTCCGCCCAAACGTTCACCTTTCGGGGGTGCTGATGATCTACTTCTTGCACCCAGTGCGGGTTTTCCTGAGACCAATACCGGCAGTTATGTCGATGCACCGATCCATTAAGATAAAAAGTAGCCTCGTCAGAAAAAATTATGTTCTTGAGGAAGTCGGGGTCTCCGTTACATCGATGCATTAAATCTTCACAAAAGTGGAGACGGCGGTCTGGGTCGTCCTCAGTCAATGCATGTATCAACAGTAACCTTGACAACAGTACCTTGACAGTATGCTAGATTGTGAGAGGCTTATGTATGCTGATGACATTAATATCTATATTTCTATCTCTTCAGCTAGACAGACCTACAATCTTCAGGAAGAACGCAATAAACTTGTTAGCTTGGTTTATTAAAACAAACGTAACTGTTAACACTCAGTTGACACAGTTCTACTGAGGATTTGGGGGTTATATTTGATAGCACCTTAAGCTTTTCACAACATATTCATTATATTCAAACTTCCAAAAATCTAGATCAATAATCAGAAACAGTATATCATTCAGAAAACTTAACACTTTAAAAACAGGATATTATGCTTTGGTTGGATCCAAACTCGAATACTGTTTGGTCTGGATTACATATTATGATTGTTACTTTAAGAATATTGGATCTATTCAGAGAGAGTTCCTGCAGTGTCTTTCATTCAGATCTGATGGAATTTATCTGGCGCGAAATATTGATATAATATATTAACAACCAGGTTTAATATTCAGTACTTAGAAAAAAGCACATTTATGTGCTCTGGGAGATTTCTTTATAACCTATTGCACAATTTGGTTGACTATCCTCATATTCTTAGCTTAATTGTTTGGTGTCGCGTTTGTCGATCATATCTTATGCAATATTTTATTGCCAATCCGCCAGAACTAATTTCATGTTAAAATTGCCTGTTTATCTGAACTAAATCTTATTATCTGATGTGTGTGATATACAGAGTGTTTCAGAAAACATGGGCCAACGCTCGTGGGCAGATTTCTAACCTAAAATCAAGATTATTTTTTCATATCAACATGGGTCCTATTTTCGCTTCGTTTCATAGCTACAGGGTGTCAAAGTTTTAAAATAAAATAGTTTTTTTTCCATAAATGTAGATTTTCACGTGAGGGAATAAATGAAATTTGGGAATATGTAAAAGAGCTTGTTTATAAAATTCCTGTCACTTCAAGGGAAGATCTTTGGCAGCATATATCTGACACATTCGCTTTAATTCGCCCAGACATAGGGATATTTCGACGAGTTAGAAAGACCATCAAAAAACGAATTCGGAGTTGTATTCGAGCTAAATCGGACCCACGTTGATATGAAAAAATAATGTTGTTTTTAGGTTAGGAATCTGCCCCCAAGCGTTGGCCTATGGTTTTTGAAACACCCTGTAAGTAAATGTGTCAAGTTTACTAAAGATTGCTTGTGAACTGCACTTATAACTTTTGTATTAATTTATATATTTTTTTCTGTTTTTACGAGTATTTTTCATATCTTACCCATGTGACAATACTTTTGTTGTGTTTGTTTCTTCCCTTATAAGTAAATTTAATATTTGTATGTATGGATTTTCACTTTCATCTTTGTATAAATGTATTTACTTTATTCTAGATCTTTTATTTCTGTAATGTCCTGTAATTGGATTTGTTCCTGTTGTGCCAATAAAATAATAAAATAAATAAAATAAAATAAAACGTCAGTAGGTGTATTGCAATTAGTGACAATACAGCGATTTGTGTAAATACTTGTAAACAGAACCAGCCGAGCTATCGCTGAAAGCAGCGGTTCTAAAAATGTTTCTTCGCATTATTGTGGTCAATCAGTTGGTAGTAAAGAAAGGTATTTTATTTGCAAAAAATATTCCTGTCAATCGAGGTGTCGCCTTTTAATTTATATACAGATCGACACAAATAAGTTTATGTTTCTATCTCAGCTAGAGCTGAATGAGATTGAGAAAGAACGCTTTCGACTAGAAGGAATAAGACGTATGCGCGGCGATTGGGTTAACGGCTTCGGAAGCGTTTCACTTGCCGTGCCAGCGTGCATTTGTGGGCGGAGCTATCTCAGAAGCAAAATTATTTGTGTCGGTTTGTATTCTTCAAACATCCTCTCCAAGTTTGTAGTCATCCTGTATTTGCAACTCGGCTTTTAGAAAATGTATAGGGTTTCACTTTCCAAACACTAATTTTAAAACTTTTGGACAGTTTCTCATGTTTCCCAAGGTAACAAGTAGTTAAAATATTTCGAGATCGATTTCCAAGAAAAATATCTTTATTCTTTAAAGATATACAAAGCATTTTTAATCTTTCCTTTTAATGAAAATAGTTATTCGGTATCACAAAAAATGGCCAAAAATAAAAAAATAGTTTTTGCGGTTTTTCTGAGACATTTAATACCATTTATATCTCTCCTCAACAAACATGGGAAACTCGCACAAAGCGTCTAAATTGGCCCACTCTGTAGCTTGAAAATCCTCAACTTGCAGTTAACTTTGCTGGGCACGTTGCGTTGGGAAGAGTTCAGAAAGTAAAATTTCGAATGCGAGGAATCAGATTTATATTTTAATCGACGTGGTGATTTCACGAATATATTAAATTCTCAGATAATGAAATCCAATGTGTCAGGTATTTACACTATTAATGAAAATACAATACTTCTTTAATATTACTAGTACTACAAATACTAGTTAAAACCTCTGATTAATACGATGTGTAAGAATATGGTTATAATTTCTTTAAAAATTATAGGACGCCACTGGGAAAAAGTGCTTTTTTTGTTGTTTTAAATATAACCTTAATTTGAATAAAGACCTCTCGATTTTTTTTTTGGTTTATATTTTTAGTTTCAGTATAACTATAGCATATTCAGATGAGCGCATAACAGACTGTGTGTTCGAAAAAAATCAGAATCTGAGGAATGTTGAGAGTATAGATATTTTATTGGATTTTATGCTTGTACGTTGTACAGGTGCAAATTGATAGATGCTGTATTGCAAATTAAGAAAAAAACTCGTACAAAGGCAAAGACAAAGAGTATTCAAAATTAATGAAACGATATGTTTTATTCCAAACTGCAAAAATTAAATGTATGTAAATAATTATATAAATTATTTCATTCATAAGTAAGGTGATTTGATTTATTATTGTTGTCATTTCAATTAATAATTGTTTTTATCCACAATCACCTTATAATTGGACTTTTATCCACACATATGAACCGTCTAAAGTGATACTTTATCCACTAGTGGAATAAAGTAACTTTATTTCACTAGTAGAATAATGAAAAAATAGTAAAACCTGTAATCAGTGAAATTTAATTTATTTAATGGACATTTCGTTTTTTGTTTTATCACATTTAACTTCCTTTCCGTTAATAATAACCGTTGTAGCATTGTTACCATCATCTTCGGAACGCATAACATCTGCTGGAGTTTGTGAAAAATTTGCACAAGTTACGGATGTGTCTCTTCTTGTAAGGAACAGCTATATTTTCCTTGGATTTTCCTTGCAATATGAAGTTTGTTAGACATGGTCTCCTCAACATAACTTTCTGCTACAGAAGAACTCTTCCACCACCATGCCGTTTGATGGTTATAAGATCAGCACTTTTATTGGCCAATAAAGTTGTTGAACTGTGCCTCATACAATGACCAGTATATGCTTCTCGATTTGCGATATTCAGGAATGAAGCAACTATTGAGGGTACCTTCGCCAATGTGTTGATTCCAACAGGCTGAGAAGTACATTTTTGATTGATATATCTTAAAAAGAATCTGTTTTGTGTTATGCGAATTGGGCGCAGAGAAATATATTTTTTGCATATTCCAACAGCATTCACGCAAAATAA